ATTGAATTTAAGAAATCTACAATGCACAGTCAAGACAAGTAGTACATAAAGGCAAAATGAATTTTTTTGTGCATACACTTACACAAATAAGTGTGAATAAAGGCTTTGTACCTAAATCATTCAAGTTTATTCCAGACCCCATTTGTTAATGTAAAGCAGATTAACTCAATATCTACATGAAAGGCTCTTTGATACTCTGCTGCTTTAAAATTGTCAGTTGCTCTCTGAGATTTGCGCAAAACATCTCTCTCCTTTACCCATGCTTTCCCTGGTCTAAAACAAGCCAATATAAATCTATTGTCATAATTGTACTTCATAGAATCATAGAATATCAGGGTTGGAAGGGACCTCAGGAGGTCATCTAGTCCAACCCCCTTCTCAAAGCAGGACCAATCCCCAACTAAATCATCCCAGCCAGGGCTTCTGAAGCCAGTAAGTTTAAAGTGATACATAGTCAAGATATATAGCAAGCTGTAGTGTAATCTTACTTTCAGGGTTTGTGATGCGGTTCTTTGGAACATTTAAATGAGCAGAGGAGAAAGGGGAAAGATTCAGAGTAGCTATTGATTAACCCAAATACAATTAGCTCACAGCACATGAGAAACTGGTGCTGCTAACTGAACATTTCTGAAAGACATCTGTACCATATATGTAGGTGTAACTTTATGTGCCACAGCAGAAGGATAAAGTTTGGAAAACATTTCAGTGCCAAGAAGTGAAATAAACTGTTTAGATGTTCAGGATGAATACAGATTTCTAGATCATGAATTTCTGTTCATATGCAGTATGTAATTGAAAATTCATTACATGCTTTTGGGGGGGCAATTGTATTTTACATTTGTCCCTTCCCCCTCTTGATGAAGATACTGAATACTTGTTTTACTGTGTACCATCTATAGAAGTTGCATTTTTGAATATTTAGGGCCAAATTCCTGCTCCTAGTTATGTTGATGTAAATCTAGAGTTATTTCATTAACTTTAGTTGAGTTACCCCAAATTTGCACTGATGTAATCAAGAGCAAAATTTGGTTTGTGATTTCATAATATTCTGTTTCTATTATATGACTGTACAACAAACACCTATTTGAGGGCCTGAATGCAAGTTAAATACTAGAAAAAATATCAAACAAGAATACATACAAACCATACATGGCCAAAACAAAATGTAACAAAATGGAAAATGGAAGAAATAGTGGAAAATGTTACCCTCCCCCATTTATGGATGTTAAAAAATACGTAAAGTGTTCATTTTAAAATTGGAAATTAGTTTGTGACAAGGCTTGATTACATAGCCATTTGTTTCTTAAGTTATTATTGCTGCAATATGTGAAGTATTATTATGCAACTTCACACCTTCAACTGTAATGTTCAACTATGTTCAGGTTAAATTATACTTGAAATTAACTGGCACTTCAATCCCTGTTTTTAAACTTGAAAGTCTTCTTAAAAATTACAATAATTACACACCGAGACTGACTGACACACATTTGTCACCTTAAAACTGCAAGTTCACTGCATGGAGGTTCCTTATTTTGTACAAAAGGAACAACTAAAAAAGGTATTTTATATTTTCCCAGTTGTAAAATCCAGAATAATCCAATGGCAGATTACAGTGTCATGAGAACTGGGCTCAGGAAGGATTTTATCCACCATCAGGCACAGTGGATGGGAATACAGTGCAGGTAACATCTTTCATTTGAAGAGGTGAGGGTCATATACCAATATATTCTAAACTTTTCAAAAGAGTGCAGTGTGACAAGTTATAAAAACTGAAAAAAGGGGGTGGAAAAGTAGAATCTTGGTCCGTTGAGCAGAATGGATGGCTCATGCCTTGATTCCTAGGGCACTACCACAAAAAACTCTAGTGAGAACGATTCTGACAATTAACTGATAAGTTATGACCCTGTTTATCCGGGCCAGAGAAATCATGTTAACACCTACTAATAAACCACACTGTGCTTGTTAGAAAACGCTATATTTTTCCCCAAACCACGGACAGACAGGATCTAAACATGCTAGAAGCTGATTCATTAAACCACATGGTACACTGACCACTGTTTCTCTCACCAGCACAGACAGGGACCTTGTAAAATTGAGCTAGTGATTTTAGTTCCTAATCGAGTTAGTTGTTCATGTCATACCGCCCATCCTCCCCCCAAAAAGCAAATACTACTGTAATTGGCACCCTTGCTGGCAATCTCAGTAGAGGCACCAAAGACTGAGACAGCACAGAAACTACCATCATCTCACTCTTTAGAACAGAGCTGAGAGGCACACCAGTAGGGAAGCTTCCCTTAATTAAAAAAAAAAGAGACCATATTTTACAGTAGCAATCCAAGCAACTAAATTTTACAGCAGATGTTGTTATTACTATGAAATACTGCAGTACTACTGCTGCCTGTGCTGTATCTGTCTTATGGTTACAAAGCACTTCAATTTTCAGTGTGGTCAATCTTCCACCTTACATAAGCAGTAAAATGAAAAATATTTAGCACTTACATAGCATTTTAGATCTTCAAAATGCTTGATAGATTTCAGCTAATCCTCACAACACCCCATGAGGTATGTAAGTATTCTTAGTTGTACAGATGCGGAAACAGGGAGAATTTAAGTGACGTGTCCAAGGTCACAGAGAGAGTTAGTGACAAAGGTAGTGTTAGAATTTAGGAGTTTGTCTCCCTCTCTTGTGTTCAGTCCATTTGCGCATTCTCATAAAAAAAACCCTTTATTTTAAAAGGTGACTAAGTCATTTCAGTTTCAATTATATAAGAATGTTTTATAATAGAAGTACTACATTTATTTTTATTTTTGAACAGACTTTTAAAAATCTCTGTAATTAGAAATTAAGATGATTTCTGTATAATTAGATTTAAGAAATGCAATGGACTTTTTGGAGATTTTGGACCAAGCTTGTTCTCTAAAACTATATGGTTTAAACAACATATAGGATGATATCCAGCTAAATGTTTAAAACAAGGTATGTTTTAAAAGTTGTGGCTTAGGTAAGTGCTATACACTATCAGACAGAAGACCCAAATTCAAATCCCAGACACACTTGACTAGCAGGATTTAGATGCACAGAGGAAACAGTTTTTTCCAAATTCTGAGGAAAACAGAAAGTCCTTCATCACTCAAGGAGAAACAACTTCTTGCCAACTGGTACAGCATTATACAGACTTCCTATGCGATTTACAGAAGATAATTAAGATGTAATGAGGCCTGGAAGTGGAGGTTCAGTGAAGATCACTCCTCCCTAATCCTCATGGACCTCTGTTCCCCGAGTACTTGTATTTCATTACTCAACTAGATACCCCTTGTTTGCAGGACACTAGCCTTTAGTGGGTTGAAGCATAGGGAAGTAGTTAGGTTAGTGCTAAACAGTAGCTGTGTGGGGTTGGGAAACCCTGAAGCTAGAAATTATTGTTTAAACCAAAAAGAAGGGGAGGTGCAGGAAAGAGAAAAAGTATTTGGATCTCTAACTTCAGAATTAAGACTCTCTGACAGCAATCTATTTTGGTAAAAAGTCATCTTAAGTTTTGACAAAAATATAGTACAATTATGATACATGGTTTATAATTAAATCAATTTGATTTCTCTATGCCAATTTTTTTAAAAAATTGGCAATTTTTAAAAAGCATTATTCACTTTGTACAGTGAGTGGAAACTCAATGCAGTGATGTTAATCATATCAGTGTCTCTAAACAGAGGGTTGGGACCTGATTCAAAGTCCACTGAAGTCATTGGGAGTCTGTCGTATGGACTTCAGATCTTGCTCTTAGTGGCTGAGTTTCAAAGAATCTCACTGAAAGTTGTTTTAAGAACAGAATGTGATCAAGTAGTTTAGGTATTGAAACGGCCACCAGAAAGGGCATAAATTAACAAAAACGTATTCCCAGAACTTTAGTGACATCTATGAGGTTGTTTGTTACACAAACATGTAGAGATATCTTTGCATTTGCTCTACAAGAAACACTAGGTGGGGTGGGAAGATCAATGTTTAACATTCTGACATGAAAGAAAAAAAAAGAACAAAAGCAGGAAAAATATGTTGTCAAGCTTATGAGATATATGTGACAAAGTTAAAAAATTGCAAATTAAAAACACTGGACAGCGTCCCTTTAACATAAAACATATGTTTAAAATGAAAGAGCAAACAAATGTAACATTTTAAGTAATCCTTGACAACTTTTGAACATCAATGTAGCTACGAAAGCAGCTACATGATGTCAGTTGTCTTGAACACAAAATGGGCCAGATTCATCTAAAAGGTAATTGGTAGATGTACTATATTGTTTGAATGTTAAATTAGTAGGCTGATTTATTGCTGACTTAATTATTCTAGGGAATTCCCAAATTTCCATAGTTTATAAAAATTTAGAAGTTTATATTGAGCAAATTTTAAGTAAATAAAGTAGTTCTGAAAATACTGGAGCCATTTGTTATGACAATGGTTATTATTCTTAATCAGTAAGAACCAGAAAAAGTAAAAATATGTCATTATCCCTTTGAAGAATCTGCCCCAAAGGTTCAACTCTTGGTATTGCCAGGTAGATTAGCAATTATTACTGTTGCTCATGTTTCTAGGACTTAATGCCCTTCAGCCAAAGGACTATGTTTCGAAGACACTTACTTTTATAAAAAGTAAAAACTCAGACATGAACTCTAAAAGCAGCGCCAATAAATTTGTCATCCATTTTCTGGAACAATTGGAAAACAGATGGAATAAATGCAGAAGGATACAATGGTATTTCCCCATCACTAGTGCAAGAGTAGTTTTGTTGCACACACAAGAAATCTCTTAAGGAAAGTGATAGGGTTTCTAGGAAGAAATTTGAAGACAATTCCCTGTCTTGCAAATATTACTAAAAATATATTCAAATAGACAATATACGATATTAACTGTGAAAGGATGTCTAACAAATTATGGTTACCTTTTAAAATGTATGTTTGCTCCAGCCCAGTTTTCATATTAACAGTGGATTAAAATAAAAGTGAAAAAATTCTGTTGAAAAGATGGCACTTTCTGCCCTTGTATTCCATTCATATGGTTACATGCATGAATTTAACTCAAAAAGTATGTCCTGAATCACTATGACTAGCACAGTGGGTAATATGATTGGTTTTGAGATGAACAGCTGAAGGATGGCACAGAGTTGCAAACATGATGCTATACACAGCACTGTAAAGGTGTATATACTGTACATTTTATATAAATGTAAAAACCACATGGAAAACATTCAACAGCACAATTTAGCAGAGGTATCAAGCGCAAGCCCAAGGGCCAAATTCTTCCCCACCCACCCACACCCCTCACAAAAAGCAATTTTATCTGGCATGCAGAATGTGCATTTGCCTCAGTTTTGTCAGGTTTATGACTACTGGCAAAGTATGCCTTACTTCCGTATTCTTGTGTTACTCTCCCTTGTTGTTCCACTATATCTGTCTATCAGTTGGCAGGATGAAACGTATGTACATCCTTAACTGCTCAAGTGCTGACATACAAAACTGAGCAAGAGCAGAGGAGAGCACAACAAATATGGAGGTGGTGGTGGGAAAAAAAAAACCACCACAAATCCTAATTATCTTTCCAACCCTTGAATCAAATGTATATGGCCCTTGGGTAAAATAGAGTTTGAAACCCCTAGTCTAGCATAATTATTTTATCTAATGCCCCAACTTAAAAACAGTTTGTATAAATCAATAATTTACACCCTTTGAATTGTTATTGCTTAAGCAAACAGTTCAGTGTAGAAATATGTTGCAGCTGTGCGCGACTTGGATGTGGATTAAAAAGATACTGAAAGTAAAACTACACATGAACATTGCATTAGACTCACACCCCAACATAACACATGTCAACACAAAGGGCTGCAACAGGTACACAGCAGCTTAATGCCAACATCCTGAACCAACTCTGAAGACTCAAATGTTGCCTAATATTTCTTGTCTAAAGTATATCACTTTTTTTTGTTTGTTTTAAATTAAGGCAATGAAATGGCTACAGTTCCTAAAGTTCATTTTAGGGGAACAAAAATATACACCTTCTTCCTTCTGAACTTTAGGCAGCAGAATATAATGTAGAAACCTGTATTACATAAAACATGCAACATCAGGTGATGTAGAAAAGCAAAACTAAACACACGTTAAAAAATACCATTTGGTGTTTTTCCCTTGGATCATAAACTCAGTCTTCAGAGAGAAAAAATAAAGCTTCAATCAGCTACACTGTTTACAGTTTTGTATGTGTCTACATCATACTCTAATATGGTTTTCAGAAAAAAAAAATCTGTAAAAGTTTGTCCAGCCACTTATGTTTTAAGCTAATGGGGGAAAAGGCACTATTTTTCACTGTGCCCATATCTGTTTGCACATATATGGAATTTTCTTTTAAATTTCAATTTGTTGTTCATTCTCTACAACATACAAGTATGACAGATTGTGACTAACACAATAGCAGAAGCTGATTCAAAGTTGACCTCTCCTATTCAACTGTGTTATATCAAACTTCCAGGCTCTCTAAAATCTGAGATGGCTGCAAAGAACCCAGAAACAGGTACAAGGTTTAGTCAGCTTTCAGCATTTCTCAGTGCATTTTGCAGAAAGGGTCTAAATTAGGCATAGAGTTTTGTTGTTGTTTATTTTACACAGAGGAGTCCACCAACATTTGCCATAAATTCTTCTAAACTCTTTAGGAAGGCCATCTTCTGCTTACGGTCCAGTGAAGGAGGAGTGCTGCTTGCAGTAAGCTTGTTAAATGCATCTGCTAACCGCTGGTAAATGACTGGATCTTGCTGACTTGATAGTAATGTTTCAACTAGTTCTGAATATTCAGCCTGTTGAAGAAACAGCAGTGATTACTACACAGGAAATAGAATACAAATATATCCACACACCTTCCTTTGTCAGAAGGAAAAACTCCCACAAACTTAGTTTGTGGTGGAAAGTTATAAGTTGTTTCCAGAGATTTAGATAAGAATACCAAGTTACAGTATTTCACCAGAGGTGAATGTGTAGGTGATACCTAGTTGGGGACAGGTGGAGGGTAAGACCTTCAGCCAGACCAAGTGGCTGCCTTGATAAAGCTCTAAAAGCCTTCAGCTCCAGTCACAATTTCAGGGTAACTGCACCTGTATTTCCCTCTTTCCCCTCACTCCAGGAGTGCCCAGTCAGGTCTCCAGCCATCACCTGTCTCTGGGCAAGGACCGTTATCCCACTCCCTTCTGATGGGGTTTTATGGCTGCACAGCTCCCTGCTTTTACAGTGTGCTATCCCCATCAAGCCAGTCTACCTAAAGACTAGCATCTGTGCTTTGCTTTCTCTCAAAGGGATATGAATAATGTATGGCCAGCAACTACAAGTTATCACACAGCTCTTTCTAAGCAAGCACATTATTCTTAAAGTAACCGTGTTACAGAGAAAACATTAAAAAAACAACAACAAAGGTTCCTACATGCATGCTAAAAGCTTACCAGAAGTCACCCACCAGTCTTATGGGGCCCTAATAGGGCAAAGTCTCTCCAACCCTTCTACTCAAAGGGTTGGGGGCTCCCTTTGAACAGAAGGCCGCACAGGTGCTCACAGCTGCCTCTCCCCCAGCTCTGGACCTGCCACAGTGAAGAGAGGCGCCTCTCCCCCCGCCAGCCCAGGTGTTGCTGCGGGGAGAGAGAGCTGGGGGTGTCCTCTCTTCGCGCTGTAGCTCCCATGCAGCCTGCACCTCAAACCCCTCAACCCTGGCCCCACCCCAGAGCCCACACCCCCAGCCGGAGCCCTCACCCTCAGCCCTGAGACCTCTCCCGCACCCTGAACCCCTCATCCTCGGTCCCACCTCAGAGCCTGCACCCTCAGCCAGAGTCCTCACCCCCCTGCACTCCAACCCTCTGCCCCAGCCCTGAGCCCCAACCCTGCTACATGAAATTTGTTAGGTGCACCAATATGGAGGTGATGCGTCACACATCACCTCCATATTGGTGCACATAACAAAATTCATTCCACACATGTATGGGAAAAATTAAAGGGAACACTGGACACCACCACCATTAACATTGCAGCTGAGGAGAGTGCAGGGCCATTGCTCTTCCTGCTTGTAATTAGTCCCCTCACACCAGACTGCTTCCTGATTCCCATTTCTGTCAGACTCATTCCCACACATTGCTTCTGTCTCAAAGTCTTTCACTGCCTCCCCACCACTTTTCTTTCACCCAATCTCAACCTCCATACAGTATCTTTCATAGAATCATAGAATCATAGAATATAAGGGTTGGAAGGGACCCCAGAAGGTCATCTAGTCCAACCCCCTGCTCAAAGCAGGACCAATTCCCAGTTAAATCATCCCAGCCAGGGCTTTGTCAAGCCTGACCTTAAAAACCTCTAAGGAAGGAGATTCTACCACCTCCCTAGGTAACGCATTCCAGTGTTTCACTACCCTCTTAGTGAAAAAGTTTTCCTCTATCCCTCCCTTTGCATCGTCTCCTCGCTCACTCATCTCCTCTACATACATATTTCTCTACCCACATCTGTAAAGAGAAACCTTAATTTTTGAATAAAGTAACAAAAAATGGCAACATGAAATGTGCAGTAACCTTTAAGGAAATGAGTGACCTTATATTTGGAGCCCTCTCTCTCTTCCTATTCCTTCTTTTTTTTTAAATCTTCATTTGTCACATCATGCCTAAGTAGACAAAGAGCATCCTGCACGCTCTCTGCAAAGTGCCTACCACACCTTTGTAAGCTGCATGAAATAACTGTCATTTTCACCAGCACAGATCAAAACATGAAGGCGAGCGAAGATATAAATAACATTTCTCACCAATGGTAAAGTAACAGCAACGAAACAGAGTTTGATAGAAAGCAGTCTTGCTGTGCTACAAAAATGTCAGCTAGCTTTGTCCAAACAACTCCCCACTATATGTATACAATTTTGTATGAGAGGTGCAAACTGCTTGGCTAAAACTCCATACAGTGTTTTGCAGAGAACAGATTTAAACATTTTATTAAAGCTAATATTAAAAGATTGTATAATATACAGGTTAAGAAAAGAGTGTCTGTACATCTGGGTATAGTGTTTAGATTATCCATAAATACAAAGTTTGTTTTAAAAGTCATAAGATACATATAATACATAATCAGTAATAACCAAATTTAGGTGAATAAAAGTTAACAATACAGTTTTGATATTAGCATCCAAAAATTCAGGTACATTACTCATGAAAAGTTATACAGAGAGAGTTGGTTGTGAAAAGCAAATATATCAACAAGTGAAGATTGTCCCTCAGTAATTGAGAATTTAGGGTAGGTTGTTTGCTAGAAAATACAAGCCATCAGGGAAGTATCTGAGTTACCTTCCTGTCTGAGCTTCTCATCAGCACTGCAGCTCATCTCCCCTGGCGTTGCCGATATCCAGTGATGTGTTCTAGGTAGATGTCTCTCAACCACCTGATGGCATCTGACACTATGAGTTGCCACATCAGCCAAATGTAGCGCTGACTGATTCCACATTCTCTCAACACTCGCTAGTTACTGGGGTCCCATGCACGCAGGGCTCCGACGATCAGCGCGTGAGTTTGAATCTCGTAGCCCCTAGCTCTCAAGGTGTTGGCCAGAGGGGTGTATTCTCTGAGAGCTGGGGGCTACAAGGTTCAAACACACGCACTGATCATCAGAGCCCTGGGAGCATGAGACCCCTACTACAACTCACATCATTCTTTTTCCTTCACAGGCCATTTCCTCAATTATCCAGTTAATCCATACTTCCCAAGTAAGAAACAGTTGAAAATCCTTGAAGAGTTATCACGAGAGACTAGCACTTCAGATCTTCAAAAAAAGATTGTTAAACGCTGTTTTTGCCTCAAAAAGCAAATCACCAAACCAACCAACCAAAACAAAACAAACAAAAAACTAATGATGGTCTGGGCCCCAAAAGACACTTGTGGGGAAAAAATGCCATCCTTTCAGTGGAGGGGCATAAAGAAAAACTATGAAATACTGAAGACAGCCCAAATGACTGCTAGGAAGTGAAAATTACACTTCCAACTATTTCTAGGCTCATAGGGAAGGTTAAATGGGGTGGGGGGAAGGAACGAAATTTATCTGGGAGAAGATTTTGGTCTTTTTAATTTTCTTTTGTTTGGTGCCCAGAGGCTCATCAAATCCACCAATTTTCTTCAGCCCCATTTTCCTTCAGGACTGGATTGTGGGAAGAGAGGAGGATCAGAATTGCATGTTGTCGTTGCCAAATTTTCTTCATTTTTTCTCTGAGTATGGAAAGTCTGTGTGTAACATACGACTCTGGACATCTCATTTAAAATTTTGCCTTGCATTTCTGAACTTCTACATTATTTCCATATGAGTAAACTGCATTTCTGTTCAGGGCAATCAACTCAAAGGATGGCCTGTTGGGTCATGTCCAGTCGTGGCTATCTACAAATAAATAATGGGTATCACTAGGGAGAATAAAAATCCTGCCTGAAAGTATTATGGAAAGAGAATTAAGACTAATAACTACATGTGCAGGACAAGACTAGTCAGTCACAGAAAAAAGGCTTATTCACTTAGAGTGGAGATTGTAAAGACACCTGAATCATTCAGAAAACAGCTTTTTTTTTGGAAGGGATGATGTCATATCCTAATGTTAATACGAAACTGGACTTGAACAGAGGAGTGGTGGCTCACAAAGAAAATAATAGTTTCTCTTATAAAAGCAGTGAATTGCTGTAACAGACACAAAACACCTTGAGGAGACTGGACACTCAGGCCACATGCAGACTAGGAGCAGTTTACCAATACAGGAACATGGTAAACTTTACCAGCAAACGCTCCTATGCACACAGCTATACCTGCAAAACTGTGCTTTTTACCAGAATAACCACCCATGGGGACTTCTGCTGGTCAGGGTCCAGGATAACACCTCCTCACACCCCTGACTGACAGCGATGCCAGCAGAAGTATGGAGTATAGATATAGCCTGTACTGAGATATATATCTATAATCTGTATCTGTCTGATAGTTGTACCAGTACAATCCCTATACTGGTATAGCCTATTCCCCTTCCCAAATGGGAATAAACTATATTAGAATAAGCACTTTTCTACTGACTTTACTGTGTCAACATTTTGGGGGGGTTCCCATTATTAGTATAGTTAAAGTGGTATAATATGTGTATGTAAACAAGGACTAAATGAACAACCTGGTACTGTGACAAATTTTTTTCCTGGGACACATCCACATATGGGTAAATACCAAACTTTCTACCCTGTAAGGTTTTTAGTGTTTATTTTTGTATTATAAAGTTATTGCTCCCCTCAGCGATATTTTTAACAGTTAGTCTGAGGCATGTTAGCTGCCTGTTTTTATTCTCTCTTTATTTCCCAATACTTGGCTTTAAGCAGGGCTCAGATTGAGCTAATATGGCATACCAGTGTTGGTGTTCTAGGCGCTAACACACCTGAGTGGATTATATGCCTGCACCCATATATCAAAGAACAACAGATACAGAACAGGTAAGTAACTGTTTTCTCTCTATCACGTATGCAAGTCATCAAAACGAGCCACTGCTCACGGTAGATTATGCTGATGTTTAAAACATGATTGTGTGTGCTCTCTGAGCACCATTGGGCTCCTTAGGTGGGGCTTGAACATATCCCTGAGATCTGCTGGACTCCTTGGGTTTAGCTCCTTCTTGATTGGGAGAGAAATAAGTTGGTGATAACATATTAACCCTAGATATTAAAAAACCTGAAGCACCCAAAATCATGAGATTATAAATTTTGGGGTTCATTTTGTTTGCCTTGGGTCTCTGAGCTTTTAGGGTGCACTTGGGTCACACTGTTAAATGTTTTTCTTCACAATCATGGAAGTTAGAAATGTACCGCTCTGTTTTTAACGAAGGCTGAAATTTCTCATGTAACAACTTGTCTCCAGGAGCTGAGCTTTAAGGAAAATATCAAATATTGACAAATGTGTGCAACTCTAACCAAGAGCTGGAAAGAACACCCATCAGGACGGCATGCATGCCATGCACCTCCTTATGGCCCCCCCCCCCGAGCTATATAAGGGTGGTGGCACCCTGATTACCATCAGTTCCTTCGCATCCCAGGGAGCTAAACTAAGTCTCCAGTGACGAGGGGCGGGTTGCAAAATACATGTCAGCACCCACATCTTGAAGAACAGTTACAGAACAGGTAAGTAACCATTGTATCTTTTTAGTCCACCTGCAGATGTGTATTCCATTCAGGTGACTCATCAGCTGTTCCCTTTGGAGGTGGGCTTAGAGTCTACTTAATTACTGTAATGAGATTTTAGCAAAATTTGCATCAGATCTGGATGCACTAGTGATCATAGCAACGCGTGATGTGTGCACTGAGGACCATGTGAGGGCCCTACAAATGTCAGATATAGGAACATCCCTCAGGAAGGTGATTGATGTAGCTTGAGCCCTTGTTGAATGAGCTGAGAGTCTTTGAGAAGGGGGAGTATTGGCTATCCCATACACTGTCATCACACAGGAAGTGATCCATCTGGAGACTGGATTATACTGCTTGATCTTTCATACAATCCACAGAGGACACAAAGACGAGGAGATCATTTAAAAGCTTTGGTCCTGTCCAGATGAAAAGCGAATGCCCTCCTAACATCCATAGTACATACACGTTCCTCACCCTTATTAGAATGTGGCTTAGGAAAAAAAGGGAGATAGGATTTTAAATCCTCTAGGACTGGAGAAGAGTAAGTTTGCCCACTCCTCATGATCAATGGTGCCAAGAATCAGTGGAGCCGATGGCATCTCTTGAGGCAGAGATTGATTGTCTGGCAAGGACTCCCCCACAAGAAGAGGTTCAGGAGTACAGGCATCTTCCTATATGTGCATAGGTGCTTTGGAGCTTGGTCTGCCTCATGTCCAGGGGATATATCCTTAGACCAAGGTGGAGAGCCTGACCTGTTGGAGCGAAACCATCCCACAGGTTCCAGGGAGGCCCCTGTGGGAAGGGATACAGCATGGGAGGCCAATATATGTTGGACCAGGGTGGTCTGTCCTTGTTACAAGAGCGGCTGCACTCTTGGTATCATTGTCTACTCCTCAACACTTGGATGACTTGTGCGACCTCTTTAATTGAGAGACAAAGAGAGAGGGGGAGAGAGAGAGGGAGAGAAGAGCTGGAGGACGCCAACTCAAAACCTGATGAGTCTTTTAAGTAGTCTATGAGCATCGGTGGAGCCCACCCCAGCTAGATACCTATATTTGTCTATTGACCAGCGAAGCGGCACTACAGTGAGTACTGGAGGTGGAAAAACTCAGACATTAATGTAAGGGCATCCCAGGGAGGTAGAGGCCATACAAATGGGTCTGGTACTGAGGAGCATACTGCCTGATGGAACCCGTCCACACTCTGAAAAGCAACTGGGTACCGAGGTCACAGGTATCCAAGGTCGTAGGTACTGAGCACACTGAGGACAAAGGGTGCATCAGTACCAGCTCCACAGGCACGAAGACCATGGACAATGCCTGTTTCTTCATCAGTTATGTGGCAGTCAGCATTTGCAAACTGTGTCCTAAAGCTGAAGGAGTGGATGGACCTGGAATTGCTGCGGGTACTGATGTACAGCTGACCTCCTGTGTTATCAAGTATACCAGCACAGAGAGATAAATCTGATGCTGCCATAAAGGCTTGTGAGGTGATAGGTACCAAAAGAAACAGTGCCAGACAGCGTACTGTGACATCCGTAGGTAGCAGACTTGACAGCTGTCTCCCGAGTCAACGGTACAGTACCAGGCTCCTCTCACCTCATTACCGCGGAGACATAGGCTGATGGGTCTTGATGTCACTGACAGCTTTTCTGGACGAAGAGGACGATAAATCTCTCCGATTTCTAATGGTGCTGATTAGATTTATGGGTCATCTGGGGAAGGTGAACAAGCCCTTTCTCTTCTTGGGGTAGAATCAGAGTCCAGGGGTCCATTGGAATTACCATACAAGTAGATGGTACCAGAGGATGACTGGCCAAATGATCCAACGAATACCCTGGTGCCAGTACAGGCTTTGTAGCCTGTTCCATCAGGTGCTGTTTCAAGTGAAGGTCTCTGGAAATCAGTATTAACTTTTTCAATGAACATTAGATAATGTGTTCCTTACCTTAATGTGTTCCTCACTGAGACACAGTAAGCAGCATGTATGCAGGTCACTATAAGGAACAGAGGCCCCACATGATGCCTGGTGCTTAAAACTCGGAGAATGTTGCATAACCTACTGCAACTAACTAAACTAATGTTACACTACACTACATGACTGGTACTAACTGCTACTAACTATTTACACTACAAACTCTCAGCAAGTAGCTGTGATGCAGGAAATAAATTGTGAGGAGAGAACTGCAGAGGGAGCTCAGACTTAAGCCGCTGATGGTAAGAAAGAATGGGGTAGGGACTGGTGCACAGCCACCCTTATGTAGCCTCAGGAGGGGCCACAAGGATGTGCAGGATATGGGTACTGCTGCAGGGGGAAAAAGTCTCCCGCTTTCAGCATGCTATGTGTAAACACATTTGCGTGGACTACGTCTGCAACACTCGAAGAACCATTACTTTTTTTCCCCACTCTCTCAATTTGATCCCTAGCTGTAAAATTCCTAAACTGATTTAGCAACTGTTTGAGGAGACAAGCACTGCTGGACACTCATGAGAGAAAAACCTGGACTTCTGACCTTACGGAAGGTGGGAGCAGAAGAAAGGAGTAACAGGCTAAACAGACAACGTGAGAACTGCAAAACTTTTTTCCACAGAAAGGTGTTTCAAGAAAACTGAATTTATGTCAAAGTGACCACAGAGGGAGCCATAAAACCTAAGTAATACAAGTCTTTGTATAGTGATTTTAAAAAGTTAATATGGGACAAATTTGTAGTGTGGAAGATAAGAAATTTTCCACAGAACCACTCTAGGCACATGTTCTATTGTATTCCTAGAACCATTAAGTTAATGCATATCTAGAAATAAAATTAATCAGACCCTTATTTAATTTTAACAACCATTCCAACTATGGAAGCCAGGATGGAAGTCCCTCTGGAGTTAAATGTGCTTCACAGCTCAACAATGTGTATTGGCAAAAATCTGATCAGTAAATTTGATTTCATTTTGGTTCTACAAAGATGCTGGATGTCTTGGTGAATATTTCATGGAATAATATAGATCTGTCAAAATGCTAAAGAAAAAACAATAGGGAACAAGTAAAGATTGACTACAATGAAGCCATGTACTGAGGGAAAAGGATATTAACTGAAAATCCCACCTCTTCTGATATTATTTAATTTTTTTCTTATGTCTTACTTGCACAGGAAAAATAATTAATTGCTGCCAAATACTGTTCTGTAACTATTGCATTTCCACTAGGTATACCAGTAACCTTAGTATTATTCTGCATGCAAAATCGTTTTTGAACATTGCTTAAAAATGGGAAAATAATACCATACCTGATGCAAACACACTAATGTGTAGAATGCTTCACCTGCTGCAGTTGTCATCTCTGTATTGTGCTTTTGTAGTACCAGCATATCAAAGACCATCTGAAGTGATCAAACAAATTATTTAATTATCTAAAATGCAGACTGTTAAACTGCCAATACGTAACAAAGTAGAAGGGGAAATCTTGTTTAGGAAGCTAAAAGGATCAGACCTATTGAAGACCTCCTCCTGAGATAAGTCTAAGTCCTTTATGGATCTGGGGAGAATATGAGTTATTGAATAAGGATTTCTGGAAATATTTATAGTTTATGCTTCTAGAGCTAGAAGACAACAGAGGACTATTACTGTGTTATGTAAATGTGACTTCTTTGCAGTGAAAAGGGCATATTTACTAAGTTTGTCTTTGGAAATGTTTTTTTTACATTAACTTACAATGGGGATTTTCTGAGGAGAAGATTTGATTAATGAACAAAGAGTATAGATTCTATTGTGAATTAACTGTCTATTAAGAGGTACACTCAAATACCAACAAACACTGTAAAAGGTGCAAACTGTAGGATAACCATGTCCTTGTCTTCACACAAAATTAAACACTCAGCCGGACTGATGTCAATGAGCCTGCTATGACAAAATTAAGATCCCAAGCAAGACTCAGTCTGTGCTGGAAGAGTAATGTAAGAGATTTTTCATTGAACATTTAACCCGGGGTTAACCACTAAGATTTTCCTACCAGCCAGCTCATGGCCAGAGGCAACTGGCTGCTCCCAATTTACACTAAGACCCACCTGAACAAGATGGAGCCCGTAGTCCAGAACAGTAGACACTGAACATGACACCGGATTGAGAACCTATGTAATTTTCTTTAAATAGAAGACCAACCAGAGCAGCATCCTCTTCTTTTCTTGTTTTAGTAATCATCTATTCCATTTCTCCTACCTATTCCTGTTGCCTCTTGTCCACTCCATCCTTCAGCTTACAAGCAATCTTGCCCATTCTGTTTTAGTTCTTTGCATCATCTACTCAGACTTCATAGTGATTCTTACTAAAATCTTTTAAGTTTCATTTTGAAGCCCATGCACATAACACAAAACATGAGCTACTGACTGAAAAGTTCCAGGTCTGCCACTGATTTGGCATGACTTTGGGCAAGTTGTTTCTCCTCTCTGTGCCTCTATTTCCCCTTATGCCCTTTGTCGGTCTTGTCTTAATAGACTAAGCTCTTTAGGGCAAGGACCGTCTCTTATATTGTGTTCGTACAGTGCTTAACCTCATGGGGCCTTGATCTCAGCTGGGGCCTCTAAACACTATTATAATACAGGTTTCAGAGTAACAGCCGTGTTAGTCTGTATTCGCAAAAAGAAAAGGAGTACTTGTGGCACCTTAGAGACTAACCAATTTATTTGAGCATGAGCTTTCGTGAGCTACAGCTCACTTCATCGGATGCAACATCCGATGCATCCGATGAAGTGAGCTGTAGCTCACGAAAGCTCATGCTCAAATAAATTGGTTAGTCTCTAAGGTGCCACAAGTACTTCTTTTCTTTTTGCGAATACAAATAAATAAAATATGGCAGCGAAATTTGCAAATAGACATTTTACCTTAAGAAAGTGCCTTGTTGCTAGAAATAGCGATGAGTCTGTTTCTTGTGCTTTTGCACATTGTTCTGCTAATGGTGTTAAAGCTTCCAGACACAATTGGCAAACCTCAGAACTCATCCTGATAATCCAAGTGTCAAAGAAAAAGCATCAAAGAATAAAAGTCAGATTTTCTTTTTAAGTTGTGGTAAATTTCTAAACAGCATCATTAGAAAATGTTTTAATGAGTATATGTCCCAGGGCTGACTTACTTTATTTTTACTGAAGTGCTTTAACAAAAAGATAGGAATCTATTGTATCTTTGTTGCCCTCTTTTATTGGCTATGCGCTGTAAAATAACTCAGTCATCTGTGACCTAACATTTTCAGAAACAGTCCCTTAATGCCAACGTTTTCATCTGTTTTTGACACGTGTTGTAGGTGAGTGAAAATGGTACTCTCTGTTCTAAACGGAGAGCCCACTGGCAATTTGACAGGAAATACTCTGAAGCCAGCCCAGTAGAACAACAGTAGTATTTTGCATTACTAGCTGAGAAACTAATTCAGGAATAGTTTTGAGATACCACCTGAAGGCTTATAAAGTCAGATTCTCTGTGAGATGAAATAGTAGGGAGGAGGCAACAGAGGTTGCCAGCAAGAACATACACATATTAAACCACTTAAAAGCTACATTAAAGAAATGTTATGGGTCTAATTAAATTCAAATAAGGCTAGAAACTCAGATGACTTTCCAATAATAATAATAAAAAAGAATGCAAGGGCAAAACGGAGAGAGAAAACTAGCTATAACACTACTATTATATCAGCAGAGATAAACAGAAGGAAAAAATGGAAAAAAGTAAAGAAAGTTCAAATTTCTTCACAAAAAAAGGAAAGACATTTTTTACTTGGACACCCATTCATTGTAAAGGATACGATGACATCCCTAACTCCAATGAGTACATTAGGCTCTTGAAAAGGTCTTCTGGAAGCTGAGGAATTTTCTCAGGAAATATCTCACAGATGAAGGTGATTAATTTGTAGTACTGATTACACAGAGATGGAAACTGTCAAAAGAAATATATTGGGAATTTTAGACTCAAACTGTTTTAATACTGTTTTATTACTGCTCCTAAATTTCTGTGGAACAAAGAGACAGGGCACAGACTGATGCACTCTGCTGAAAAGAAAGGTAATTATTAGCAGATACAAACTTCAATGTTATGGTCCTCAGCATATTGCCTTCATTTGATTTTTATGATCGTATACAAGAGCTATGCATATGACATGAAAGCCTTAAAAAGTGCCTCGCCTCCCCCCAAAAATCAGTGTTATCCTAGTAAAGAAATACAAAAGTAATGATCAATCACAAATGCAAAATATATAATATGTTTTTCAAAATTTGAAGAGTTTTAAAAACTGTCAAATATGGACAAGAGCAAAGTAATAAATCAAACTTTCACAAGGCAAATTACAAAAGAAAAGCCACAGGAGAAGGGACCCACAACGGGAAAGAAAGCTGACAAGTGAATGAACAGCAATGCAGACACTTTTTAGATCATAATGCATTCCCCAAGAAAGTGCATGAAACTTGGAATGGAATATAGAGCAAGTTGCCTATAGAGCAAGTTTCCTTCTAACCCCCATCAGTTAGTTGTTGATTTATGCCATGCAGCATGAAGATTTATATCCTTTTTTATCCTATCTAATGTTAAAGTAGATATTCTCATTCTCCATATAAATGTTCGCAAAAAGAAAAGGAGTACTTGTGGCACCTTAGAGACTAACCAATTTATTTGAGCATGAGCTTTCGTGAGCTACAGCTCACTTCATCGGATGCATACCGTGGAAACCGCAGCAGACTTTATATACACACAGAGAATATGAAACAATACCTCCTCCCACCCCACTGTCCTGCTGGTAATAGCTTATCTAAAGTGATCATCAGGTTGGGCCATTTCCAGCACAAATCCAGGTTTTCTCACCCTCCACCCCCCCACACAAATTCACTCTCCTGCTGGTGATAGCCCATCCAAAGTGACAACTCATCCTTTTTTGAATTCTATGATAAAATCTCAACTCAATGCAAAATAAGATGACTTGTGGCAAGACTGACTTTTTAAAAAACGACAAACTTTGTCTAGGTCTTCATGTATCTCTCTCTTAGGCTCTCAGGGGCCAGAGAAAAATTCTTTGCATATACAGTAAAATAAACCCTAGAAAATTCATTGTATTTAACCGCCAGGCTACATAAACCGCTCTAACAACTTCAAAGTTTAGAAACCATTTAAAAAGTTATATACCTTTATAAGAAGTTTCCACATTTATTATGTGTGCGTGCATATATACATAGATCTTAAAATATACTTACTTTCAGTAGATCCTGTGACATTAATGGCAGAACTAGATTAACCCCATATAAGACTACATCTGCTGCTGACACAGATCTATTTGCAGCTTGTCCTGGCTCATGTCCTCTAAATACTTCATCTATAGAAAACATGTAAACCTTTACTGTTAACATATTAAATGTAAAAGGAGAGATCAGACATACTGAAGTGTCACATTTTTATGCAAGAGGCCAGATTTCTTTTTTAAAAAGGACAGCACACACACTATCTTAAAATAGGAGTTGTGAGAGTTAAGGCTGCAGCTTCATCTTATGCTTAGGCCCATTGTTTCTAGGCATCACAATACAGTACTCCAAAAGATCCTATAAGAACAGGAAATATCAAATACTATGAGTATGCCTTAGCATTTAGGAGTATGTTAAAACACAGAAAACTTTGTTTATTTCAAAGTAAAGCTTCACAATTGCATTTCCTATCAACTGGAACACTAAAAAGCAAGAATATTCATTTAACTGGTGATATTAACATCCATACAAACCTTAACTCATGTCTTACCACCTGATCATAATACCAAAATGTATTCCGACTCCTTAGTTTCATGACAAATTCCCTTTCAGATTCTTCCACATAACCAACCTTAATGCAGACATTCAATTCCTCATAACCCTGACTCAAAAACCCAGCCTGTATTCTGATCTTAGATTAAGATATACTGACTACAGATCTAGGTCTAACAGTAAAATCTTTGTCTATTATTTACAGATTAAAAATAGGGGGCCAGAATTCCATGCATTTGAGACTGTAAATAATTATGTGTGTGTGCACTTCAGTTGGTTATATCTTGGGAGGCACTAAGAGCTAGTGATGGGCATTAATATAAATACCTGGATAGATAGATATGATTTCCTTTCGTTCTGTCCTTCTGCACAGAACTTTCTAGGACTTGGTAAAGCTTGAACATTGGGTTTACATTTTTTAGCTTATCTAAAAAACTGTTCAATATAGTTATATTACACCTGACATATCAGGTTTCCAACTGATTCAATTTTAAATAGCAGAGATCACAAATCAAAAAAAAAGACTGGGATATACAAGAGAAAACTTAACTAAACAATAACACAGTAAAAAGAAAAGGAGTATTTGTGGCACCTTAGAGACTAACCAATTTCTTTGAGCATAAGCTTTCGTGAGCTACAGCTCACTTCATCGGATGCATACTGTGGAAAGTGTAGAAGATCTTTTTATACACACAAAGCATGAACACAGTGCCTGTTCTGCAAACTGTTGAGCATCTACACGTCCTCATGAAGTGCCACTGGAGTGATAAAGCTTACAGAATCAAGCCCTTCTATCACACACTGAAATGTATCTGTTTTAAACTATATCCTAATTTTGACTTCATTGACCTTGTTTTTGATAACTACCATTGCTTTATTTCCAGATTAGTGGCTTGTTCTAGTTCAGATTTCAAGTTGTTCAGTATACAATAGCAATGCAACAAGAACAATGGCCTATGAATTATATGCATGCTTCCCTCAGCTTCCAGAGTCGGAATATTAAATATTATCTCAGAATGTGGAAACTAGACTCTCTATTCTCACATTACTTGGATAATTAATTCTTTCTCCACAATATTTTTGCTAATTAAAAAAAAATCAATGTAAGATAATTCCTCAAAAGAAAATTCTTATTTTGCAGCCCATAATTTTTGCTCAAAACCACCCAGAGTAGTTCACCAATACTTGAAGCTTTTCATCTCCAATTCCTTCATACCTGTATCACTGAAATCTATAAATTCTTTTGACAGAAGATTAGTAAGAAGCTCCATAATAAGAAGAAGATCCTGGTATTGGTCCTCTTCTGCTGTAACATCTATTCGCTGCCGACCTAAATTATTCTTGGAATATACTTGAAGTAGAGTCAGGCAGGCTTCATACAAATTCATGGCTTTGGACTGCAACAAAGACACAAAACAGGAAGTTAAATGTGTTATATACTATATATACTAGCATATTTAATATTGACTTTTTAGAGCTGCTTTTGGTGCTGCTTGGCTGACAATACACCAGTGATTTTGATTTCATTTTTATTATGTTACTATTTAGTGTAATAGCTACACATAAAAGTGTTAAGGAAATAGATATTCCTTAGATAACGTAACTATCTTGCCCATTTACTCATGCACCAGTTACTACAATACTTTAGTAATACAACCATACTTTTGGCAGGTTCCTCCAGATTTAAAAAGAAAATTGTAAATCAGGAGTCTGTATATAAAATGATTTTGGACAGGCTGACATTTCTTGCCAAACTCACAAAAGAGTACAGAATTGCAGATTCAGAATCTCTAGGGTCTTGTTCACACTAGCACATTTTGTAGCTTTAATCCACCATTATGGAATCCAAAGGTGGTAGCTAGGATTTTGTCTGGATTAGGGAAATTTGCATAGGTAGAACTGTACCAGTGCAAAGTCCTAATGTAGGTACACTGCACTGATGCAACTTACCTGGTAACTTACTGGGGTAAATCACACCAGGGAAGCCCTGTTTAGTACCAATGCAGTGTCTCCACATTACGAGTTTGCACCAGAAGTTAAACCAGTGACAAGTTTCCTTAGACAAACCTTCACAGAAAGTTAAACATGGTAAAAACACCCTGAGCTGGTAGAGCTGGACTAATGATGAATGATAGGTATATTTGTTAGTGTATGCATAGTCTAGCTGTACTTTTGGGTTACCTTTTCAGAGACAATATATGAACTCTCACTTATAGACAAGGAAAGATTATTTAGTACATCCAAAATTTTTCTGAATGATATAAGAGGCAGAACTGTGGGATGCTCTCTCTTTTTCCAGTCTCCAGTCAGTATGCTTGGGTTTTACTATAGCAGAAACCTGTAAATGGATTTGCTTGTTTTATCAAATCTGTTTTCCTTTAAAGTGGTCTATTTCCTTTTAACAACATATCAGTTTCAGTGAATTATGCTCTTTAATGGATTATATACAAAATAAGTTAGCAGATGTATTATTTTAAAAGATCAATTAACTTTTTGATGTCTACGTTTTAAATACGTTCACTCCTTTAACAGGCATTCATTTAAGAGGGCTCAGCTCTACAATGTTTCTTCCTATTCAGCATCTAAAATCATTATGGTTTACTTGATTTAGAGAATAAGATCTTATTTTGCATGTGCATGCATGCGGGGACACACACACACACACACACACTCTTTTTGGTCGCGTTTACCTCTCCGAGATAGCATATTTGTTTATGTGCAACTTCAACAAAAACTTCTATTATGAGGTTAACAGTCTCTGGTGTGTTTTTGTACACCTCCATTAATCCAATGCAATTGGTAAGGAAGTCCATCAGAAAGTTAAAGAGGATTGCTACATTATCTATTTGGGTAGCCTCAGCAATGCCACAAAGTGCTTCTAGTGTGGCAGTGATTTCTTGTTTCACCTCCTCCTCTTGACAGATCTGTTGAAAGTTTTCTTGGTTTATCACATTCAAAAATCGCTGTTGAAGTGGCTGAAGAACCTACAGAATCAAAAATTAAACAGCCATTTCTGATAAATGTATTCTTCCAGTTTAATACATGCAGTACTTACAGTTTTCTATCAATTCATTAAAAATTCAAGTATTTATGGCACACAACTCTTCCCTCTCTCCCCACCTCCAAAGCACTGGGATAATTCACCACTGTTACTCTAGATTTACACTGGTGCAATTCCATTGATTTCAATGGAATTAAAACTGGCAAAAAACTGGGGTAACACAGTGATTAATCAGACCCATTAAGTGAATTTTAACTTAATCTTGCCACGTACTATCTCCGTTAGGGGTCTGTTTTAGCATTATCTCTTGCCAACTTATTTTCTGCCCACTTATGCTGTTTAAATTCCTCTCTACTGTGCCTTTTTCTGTCCTCTCTGGTATTTGAATCTCCTCCAAATTTTGTATCATCTGAACGCTTCTTTTCTACTCTAGCTAATTAATAAAGCTGTTAAATAAGATCAGTCTTAATAATGATCTTTGTGGTACCACACAACATACTGCTATCTATCATTAATTTTTTTTTAAACTATTTATTTAGGACATTAACAAGTTTACAAATCCTTGCCAGGTAATTATTATTGTATTGGCTCTGGTATTTACAACAGTGAGCTTTTGTTTAGAGAAACATTGTTTAGTCTTCCAACCTATGTTCAATCTGCATGATACTGTTGATAGCTAAGCTGATCTAATTTTTGAGAGTTTAGTTTTTCAAGACAGTCATAGAATCACAATGAAACTCTAATATTAAAAAAGTCTCTAAAGATGTTGAGTGTGCAACAGTAGTGTTGAATTCAAAAGCTAACTTTGAATTCAGTTTCATTGCTTGCTGAAATGAAGGTGACGGAAATTTAAAATGTCTTACCTCTGTCCAGTATTGCTGTTTTGTATCTGTGTCCATATGAGCAAAACCTCCTAAAACTAGAGCTTTCATTAGTGTTCTCTGCACAGAACTGGACAAAAAGTGAAGAGGTGGGCTTCGCCTTGCAAACTGCTTAGCTAAATTCCACCAATTCTCACACTGAATTACTAAATTTGCCCTAAAAAATAAAATAAAAATAAAAGTAAAAAAACTGCTTACTCATAGAAAATCCTGTGGAAACACATACAATCTGACTGCTTCTACCAAGTACTCTTACTAGAAATTTTGTTAACATTTTTGTATTCATTTAACTTAGGATTTATACCTAGTCTCTATTCCTTTTGACATTCATCTTATTTATGCCTCACTTCTAGATGTCTGTAACATTTAATTTATAAATCATTTAATTTATGAGAGAAAAAAATGGGAAAGTACTTTGTAAAGTCCCATACTACCCTTTATTTGACACCTTGCATGTATTGAGCTCAAGCAGTTTATTTTGAGTTTTGTTGTTATAACTCTGAGCCTAGAGACTCTGAAGTTTTAGAGAATTTACAGGAGATTCAGATTAAAGAAAAGAAAATCTGTTATATCACAGAGTTCTGTTTAACCAGAAGAACACAAACCAGCATCGTCTTTAGCCACTGTACCTTCTTGCAGTTTGGAAATCTGTACAGATCTAAACAATAACAAACAGGGCATCTCTTGTGTATCTCCAGAGCTCCTCAGCTGGTGTCTGGGAAACAAATTTCTGTCTCTTCTGGTCACAAGAGTAGTCCAGTCCCTTTAAGAGTCTGAACCCAACTATACTCTACCACACAGAGATTGTCCTTGCTCAAGGAGGCATTTCTAGCAGGACCAGATTAAGACAAACCAGGGACCTTGCCACTCCCTCACATGGGGCCCCTCCTGTACTGTGGTGCGCTCTCTGATTTGGCCAGCAGTGGCACGGGCCACCAACATAAAAGCAAAGAATAAATTTTGCTAGGCTGGTTGCCCTGCTCCTCTTTGCATAAACTGAGGCCTTCCTCATTTCTGGGTCACCCTTCCCTGCCTTCATGTGAACTGGGCCCTCTCCAGAGCAAGGGAGGGCTCTGTCTGCATCCACCTCAGAACAGGACTCACTGTTACCACCTCAGCCAACTTATGATGGGGTAGAAGCAGAGAGACCCCTCTGTATAGGTAACTATGTTCCATCTATTTTTGCCCCCTGTGTAGGGAACAAATGCCTGCCTAAGCTCAAGTTTCAAACCTATCAATGCAGCTTCTCCCACTCCCATTCCTTTGCCTCTGTCATTTCATCTATCCCTTCATTTATTCATTCCCTTCCCCCTTGATGCATTACAGATCCCATATTCACTATATTCTCCTTTCCACTCCATCATTCATCCTCCCTTTGCTTTTATCTTCTCTCTCACCTCACACATCTGTTAAACTTGAGCTTTCATGGTCTTTTTGTTCAACACACAAAAAAGTGAGGGAGAGGGAGGAGTGAGAAGGAAGGGGGGAGCTGTAGGATCTCCCAAACCCCCAACAGGCTATAAGCATCAAAACATGGGCTCTCTTCCTTCCCAGTCTACCCAGAGTGCACCAAACCCAGTGGCTGGTCCTCCCCAACTTTTTTTTTTGGGGGGGGGGGGGAGGGGGATCAAAGTGGAGATTCTGACCTCATTATGTGATTCCAGGAGCTAGGACTCCAACATGGCTCTGTAGTACCTATTCCTTAATCCAACGGTTCTCAACTTTCAATACCGTGATCCCCTTTTACACAGAAGAAAACAAATTCTGGAACCCAGGAACACCGCCCCATGTAGTCAAAGAAATGGTGGGTGGTTGTGATCCCCTTAAAATTCTCCTCTAGGCTGAGAACACATGCTTTAATCCTGGATTCCAGACCTGACTCCCAGACAGGACTCAATCCCCTGCCAGCCTTAACTAAAAAGCTCACACCATTATCAAGCTTCCTCTGAGGTACCGCCACTGAGGGCTGGGAGCAGAAATGAGAGAGGCAAGGTTATGGGAACCCTGTAGAGAGCACTGAACAGTGTCAGCTCCTACCTAACACTAAGGAGTTCACAACTGACTTTGGCTCTTGAATGCTTTTCCTACTGCGAAAAAGGATGGTCTCATGGTTAAGGCAGATGAATGCTGCTGTGAAGAACTGGATTCTACTCCTTCCTTGCCAGAGTTCCTATGTAATATTGGGCAAGTCACTTCAACCAAGCCTTTTACAATCATTCACTCATTGTGTGTTCCTCATGCCTGACTTTGAAACCCTGGTGTCTGATTTGCAGAAGCGCTGAGCACTCGCAACTGAAACTGAAGGCAAGGGGAGCTCTGCTTTGAAGTGCTATGTAATGATTATGTAATAATTATGAAGTGCTGTGTAATGCTGAGTATTCTAAAAAATCAAGGCCTAGGCACCTCAAATTTAGTATATACTTTTTACCTTACTCTCTCTGTGCCTCAGGTCCCCATCTATAAAATGGGAATAATACCCCTTAATTTTAGAGAGGTATTGTAAAAATAAATTCACTAATATTTGTGAAGCACTTCAGATACTGTAATGATGAGCACCACAGAAAAGCCAGTGAGGAAGTTAATAATTCTGTCTTCAGAGCAGAGTTTGAACAGTGTGTAGTAATAAGGCATAGGGCCACACATCGAACATCAAGCAGAAAACAAAATACTGAATAGTTGCTTGTTAAGAGAGCACTGTCCATTTTGTGCACTGAATGAGGCAAGGATTCTGTGTGAAAAAAATCATGTAATTAAATAATGTAATATTAACATAATGCATATGCACAAAGGGGGTGGATTAAGGTTGCATGTGCAACTTTAATTCTGGCATTTTAAAACGTGCGTGCGTGACTTAGCAACAGTAATAATGTTCTTTTAACACAATACATATGTATTACACACAAAAAACGACTTCGTGTCAGTCTACAAAAGGATAAAACTTTCAAGAATTTGCTGCTTTACAGCTTCTAGCTTTGAAATGTATCACTTTCTCCAAATTCTACATGCTTTTAGATGTTTAAAATTACACCATTTTAATATTCTTTTACAACATAACTATGTTGGCATTTGATTTTTTCAACCCTAAACAGCTAATTCTGCAAAAGTAAATAGCAGTGTAGAAATCCTCATTATGGGATTGGGAGGGTGGGGGGAAAGGCAGAATTAATTCTTCCTAAACACCTGGTAGTTGAGAGGCACGGGGAAGGAGAGCACATTTCAGTACAATATAAACTTGGGGGGCTCACATAACTGGGCTGACAAGCACCGACAGGCTGATTCTCCTCTACATTATACCAGTTTTGTTTGGTGACACTTCACTGGAGTTACAGAAGCATAAAACTGGTGTAAGAGTGGAGAATCAGGTCTTGAGTCTATGTAGTCTAGAACATGGTGGTTATGTCATAAAAGGAGAAAAACTGCAAATTATATAGTTTATGTGCAAGTATGTACATATTTTTAATAAAATACCTTGCATTTTATTCTAGGGCTTGAACAATTTTGAATGCTTTAATTCTCACTTTAAGTGCTCTTAGCTGTGGAAAACATTTAGAACAGTACAAATACTCTTAACAGGTAATATACTTTATATTCACTTTATTTTTGGCCCAATATAATTTTAAAAGATGCAAAAGAAAAATTTGACTTGCATATGCCTGCAGTTTACCTCTCTCTCCTTTCCACTAATGTTACTAGCAACTGAACAGTGTCATTTGCAAGGTCCTGCTCAGAACTCCATACTGCCAGGTTACTGATTACTTTTTCTAAGAGGTAACCCACAATCCACTGGGAACCCTCTGTGTCTGCACCAAATGCTGTATTAAATGGTAGACTTATCTATAAGAAAAAGAAAACAATTAAATGAGTGCATTTCACAAAAATAGTAACTCATTTTCAGACTTTCACAGTCCTTGCTTACTTAACGTACAAGAGTTATGTTGACAAAACGGAAAAAGTATCAGGAAAAAATAGGTAGGAAACCAAACTTACCTCTCACTCTTTGACAAAAAACAGGAAACAATATCAATTTTGTTATAAAACCCTATTTTAAGTATCCTTACATCTATCCTTCAACACCACCTTTTAAAAGAAAGATTTCCCATGTATGCAGTGTTGTCATAGCTGTGTTGGTCCCATGAATTAGAGACAAGGTTGGGACCGACCACCTTCTGTTAGCGAGAAACAAGCTTTTGAGCTCACTCTTCTTACCTGAAGAAGAGCTCTGTGTAAGCTCAAAAGCTTGTCTCTCTCACCAATAGAAGTTGGTCCAATAAAAGATATTGCCTCACCCACCTTGTGTCTTTTACATTTCCCATGCACAGTTCAAGGTGGCCATAAAGGAATTCCTGCAGTTCTTCAGAACTGAAGACTCTAATACTGAGGACTGGCCTACTCTACCTCTTAGGTCGATGTAACTTATGTTGCTCAGGGGTGTGAAAAAGACACACCCCTGTATGACATAAATTACGTCAACCCAAGCGCTATCCATATCGGCGCTATGTCGGCAGGAGACGCTCTCCTGCTGACATAGCTTCTACCTCTCTCTTGCAGAGGTGGAGTAATTATACAGACGGGAGAGCACTCTTCTGTCAGCATAGCACATCTTCACCAGACATGCTACAGGAGTGCAGCTCCAATTGCTCCCTGAATTTGTTCCATTTGCTTCTTTTTATTGAGGGGGGGGAAGGAGAGCAGAGAAGAGGATTCAAGTGTGACGTTGTACCCCATAATGCTTTATAGAAATATGTTTATGAGTATAAATATGACATAACTGGAATGTGTTTTACGCTAGATATGCTATGTAACATATCTCTGCAAAGGTTATAATCTACTGGATATATTCATCCTATTTGTATGCATGTATTATTTTTGTATTCAAAGTTATGAATATTGGCTATGTACTTGTTTGATTTTAAGTAGCTCAGGGAAGCAGTTGGTCAGCTTCTTGAGAAAAGACTATTTTCAGTAAGTGCCCAATCAAGAAACACTTAAGCGAACAATGAAGTTTAAGAGACATCAATCCACAATTGAACTTTCCTGGGAATGTGGTGTCGGCCTGTAAAAAATCTGATTCATGCATGGACATGTGACTTGTCCATGTGACTCCAGAACTCCATCTTGCAGGTGGATTCTGCATAGGAGAGGAGAAGGGGTTTCCACCCACAAGAGAAAGTCTATTTAAGCCCCTGGGGAAACCCCTTCATTTTGTCTTCAGCTGGCTGAAGAGGTAGCTTCTCCACCCCCAAAGGACACCTGAAAGAAACTGAAACAAAGGACAGGAACTACATGGGTGTGAGTGATTGCTAGAGCCAGACTAGAAGGAGGCTAGTCTGTAAAAGAAGCTTATTGGAACATCTCTGAAGGTGAGATTTCATCTGTAATCACTTTCTTACTGTATTAGGCTTAGACTTGTTTGTTTTACTTTATTTTTCTTGGTAATTTGCTTTGTTCTGTCTGTTATTACTTGAAACCACTTAAATCCTATTTTTTAAATTTAATAAAATCACTTTTTTACTTATTAATTAACCCACAGTATGTATTAATACCTGGGGGGGTAGGGGGAAGAGCTGTGCATACCTCTCTATCAGTGTTATAGGGGGCAAACAATTTATACGCTTTATACAGGGTAAAACTGATTTATTTGGGGTTTGGACCCCACTGGCAGCTGGGTATCTGAGTGCTGGAGACAGGAACACTTCTTAAGCTGTTCTCAGTTAAGCCTGCAGCTTCTGGGGGACATGGTTCAGACCTGGGTCTGTGTTTGTAGCAGGCTAACGTGTCTGGCACAGCCAGGCAGGACACTGAAGTCCCACGCTGTCAGGAAAACAGGCTCAGAGGTAGTCTCAGCACATCAGGTGGCAGTCCCAAAGGGGGTTTCTGTGATCCAACCCGTCACACCAAGTACATAAAAGATCGTTACAAGGAGGAGAGAGAAAAATTGTTCTCCTTCACCTCTGAGGATAGGACAAGCAATGAGCTTAAATTGAGCAAGGGCAGTTTAGGTTGGACATTAGGAAAAACTTCCTGTCAGCGTGGTTAAGCACTGAGTCTGGAATAAATTGCCCATGGAGGTTGTGGAATCGCCATGGTTGTCGATTTTTAAGAGCAGGTTAGACAAACACCTGTCAGGGATAGTCTAGAATAGATAATACTTAATTCTGCCATGAGTGCAGGGGACTGGACAATATGACCTCTTGAGGTCCCTTCCAGTCCTATGATTCAATCATCTAGCCAAAAAGAAATACATCATTCACCACTCTTATAATCAAAAACAATGTAAAAATTAAGATTCTGAATAAATGTAAGCTATATAATTGCTTAAATAATGTGTATAGATCAGAGGTGGGCAAAAACTATGGCCTGTGGGCCATATCCGGCCCCTGGGACCCTCCTGGCCAGTCCCTAAGCTCTTGGCCTGGGAGGCTAGCTCCTGGCCGCTCCCCTGCCATTTCCCCTCCCCCGCAGCCTCAGCTCACTGCGCCGCCAGCACAGTGCTCTGGGCAGCGGGGCTGTGAGCTCCTGGGGCAGCGCAGCTGCAGAGCCCGGCCTGACCCGGTGCTTGGTGCTGCACGGTGCCATGGCTGGCTCCAGCTGGACAGCGCAGCTGTAGCGCTGCCAGTCACCGGTGCTCCAGGCAGGGCGGTAAGGGGGCAAGGAGGTGGATCGAGGGCAGGGGAATTCGGGGGTTAGGGTGGTGGTCAGGAGGCGGGGGTGTGGATAGGGGGCGGGGCGGTCAGGGGGCGGGGAACGGGGGGGTTGAATGGGGGCAGGGGTCCAGTGGGGGCAGCCAGGAAGGAGGGGGTGGCGGGGGGCGGTCAGGGGCAGGGATTCCGGGGGTAGGGAGAAGCAGTGGTTGGATGGGGCAGGGGTCCCGCAGGGGGCAGGGGGGCAATCAGGAAGGGCGGGTTGGATGGGACAGCGGGGGACAGTCAGGGGCAGGGGTTCCGAGGGCGGTCAGGGAGAAGGGGTGGTTGGATGAGGCAGAGGTCCTGGGGGGGGCAGTTAGGAATGAGAAGAGGAGTTGGATGGGGTGGCAGGGGGCAGTCAGGGATGGGGGTTCCAGGAGCGGTCAGGGGACAGGGAGCAGGGGGTGAGAAGCAGGAGAGGGTATGGGGGGGGGGGTAAGGGCCGGGCTACGCCTGGCTGTTTGCGGAGGCACAGTCTCCCCTAACTGGCCCTCCATACAAATTTCCGAAACCCAATGCGGCCCTCAGGCCAAAACGTTTGCCCACCCCGGTAGAGATATATTGTATCCTCCTGGTTCACAATTTTTTTTTTTTTTTAATAAAGGTTACATTTAGTTGCAAATCAACATGTTCTAATGGTTCCCAACCAATAAGAGGAGGAGGTTACTTACCTATAACTACAGGTTCTCCCAGATGTGTGGTCCCTATCTTTATTCCAATCATGGGTGCACATGCGTGCCATGTTCTGGAGCTAGAAGGTTTTCATAGCAGTGTCCATTGATCTGCACGTGCATCAAGAGTCCTCGTTCTCCCAGCAATGCCTCTTCAGTGACCCTCTTAACACCAAGTATGCCAGCTCGCAGCAAAGGGGATGGAGAGCGGGTATTGGAATAGGGACCACATATCTCAAAGACCCTCCAGTGATAGCAATTATATAGCTTACATTTATTCAGAGTATTATTTTTATGTATTCCAATGTGGGTGAGTAGCAAGTAGTAATCAACATGGAGATGGAAATGCAGGCTGTAGAACAGCATGTTCGCAGCCGCTCCTTCAGCGATGGCATAGCACAGTGGTCCCCAAACTTTTCAGGGATATGCCCTTCCTTACCTCTGTACATGCCCTCCATCCTGGGAGGCGGGGCCGGGAGCGGGGCCATGGGATGCAGAAAGGGGTAAGGGGGCCGAGGCTGGGGCCAGGAGCAGAGACCCGGGCTCAGGCCAGGGGTGGGATGTGGCGCAGGGCTGTGGCTGGGGCCAGGGCAGAGCTGGGGCCAGAGCAGGATGGGGTGGCGCTCCCTCCCCACCTACCATGGGGGCTGGCCTGGGCCCTGCTGCAGCCCCCATGAATGTTCCTTTGTGCCCCTTAGGGGGATGAACCCCAGAGTTTGGGGACAACTGGCATAGCAGAGGGTGAATATGTGAACGAATTGCCATGTCGCTGCTTGACAGATGTCCTGCCAGGAAATGGCTGCTAGGTACGCCAAAGTGGTAACTTGTGCTTGCATTGAGTGTGCTGTACTTGTATCCAGTGGCCATACGTTGGAGTGTGTGTAGCACGTCTGGATGCACCCGAAGACCCATTTCACAATTCACTGGGAAGAGACAGCTTGGCCCTTGGACTGGTCTGCAATTGGTACAAACAGCTTCGGTGATGCACGAAAGGCATGGGTCCTCTGGAGATAAAAGGCTAAGGCACGTCGGATATTGAGGGAGTGAAGGGTAGCATCTGCATGGGAGGCATATGGCTTCGGACAGAGGACAGGGAGGTGAATGGACTGATTGAAGTGGAACTCCACCACCACCTCTGGGAGGAAGTTAGGGTGCAGTCGCATGGGGACTGTGTCCTTCTGAGGGCAGTTCTATATTACTGGTTAAGTCATCTAACTTATATTGCTCAGGGGTGGGAAAAAGCTCCCCTCCCTGAGCAACACAAGTTTCGCGCTGTCCACACCAGCGCTATGTCAGCGGGAGACACACTCCCACTGACACAGCTTACGCTTCTCACTGAGGTGGAGTATTTATGCCAATGGGAGAGAACTCCCCTGTTGGCATAGCGCATCTTTACCAGACACACTGCAGCTGCGCCGATGCAGCACTGTAGTGTAGATGTACCCTGAAACACAGTATGGGGCGGGGTGTCAGCCATCAT